GAAACATTGAAAAAAAATTAAAGAACAACAACAAATAAAAATTGAAAATGAAAGAAAAAGAAGAAAAAAAAGAAAAAGAAAAGAAAAAAAATGATAATAATAATAATAATAAATGCAGTCCTAGAGTTCTATTAACTTCTCTTCCAGTAGGTGGAGCTGTGCCCACTGGGCCAAGCTTCTCCTCTCAATAGGTGGGAACCATTCACTGTGCAGCAGCTCTTTCTCCTAGACTGGGCTGGTCTCCAATCCTGAGTGTCTAGGGCCTTGTCTTGTGTTTCCTCAAGCCAGGCCGTGCTCACCTGTGGCGCTCACCACAATACTGGCTACACGCCAGGTCTGCTGCTCCTGGGAGCCCTGTTTTCATGAACACCTGGGCTCACTCTCCCTGTTTGCCTCCCTCAGACCCTAAGTTTGTAGAGCTTGGGGCTGAGGTCCCCCAGCGAATTTGCTTGCCCTCCTGTAGCCACGCCCCCGGTAGCTGGTGCAAGAGACCTCAGTTGTCAGCACTGGTGGGAGCGGTAGCCGGGAGTTCCGCGCCGCGAGTCCCGCGCCACTCCTGATTCCCTCGGTCTGGTTATTGCGTTCACAGGAGAGCTGGGAGTGGCCCTTAAGGTTTCCCCGCTGTGTGGAGAGAGATGGCTAGGGGATTACACACCTGTCGCGCTGGTTTCAATGCAGTTATCTCCTCCGCCCGTGACGCCATTTCTCTGCCATGGTGGTATCCCATGCAAATGGTGACCGTTCGTTCCCTTTGCCGGATGACCAATGCAACGGGTGGGTCCTGACTGTCTCTCCCAATCCCCGTTTCAGTCCTGTGGCCACTGCCTATGAAGGCTCGGTTGGCTTTTACCTCTGTAAGTTCCTAAGGGCCGGCCAATTATTTCAGCGGGATCGTTAGTGCTGAGTCACACGAAGCAGGAGAACCGGAGCTTAATTGCCTCCGATTCGGGCTCTGTGTGTGTGTTCTGAGGGGCCCAGCCTGTACACCCCAGATCCACTTCAGCTCAGCATTGCCTAGTGATCCTGAGCAAACAGCATTTAGACAGTTTACGGCTCCCTATGCCCGCGCAGTTGAAGATGTCAGAGACTTGATCTCTCTGCGCCTGCCACCATGTTACATCTCCTCAGTGATATTCATGTTGCCCTTACAGCTTCCTGGTATAAGCAAGTTCTTGGGATTATACAAACTGCCGCTTCTGTTTCCAGTCCAGATTTCTAGAAATGAAACTCTGGGCCGCGCTGACGAGCGTCCGCGCTTGTCTGCGACCGTAGCAGAGCCGCCCTGGCCTCCGCAGCTCTTCAGCCCGGTGCCAGGCCCCAGGGGCCCAAGCGGCTGCTGCCGCGGCTCTCCGTCCCCCTCCTCCGGAGCACGGGTCCCCTGGCAGGGGGGTGCAGAACGACCCCAGAGCAGGCTCTGCCCGAAGGTGCAGCGGCGAACAGGCCACAGAGACGCTCGAGGCTGCAGTCCAGTCTTCGGAGGACAGGGCTCGGCACGCAGCCCAGCTCCAACCTCTAGGTGCGGCTGCCGGACAGTGTATACAGAGCCATCAAGACAGCAAGCAGAAAGCAAATGGCGGCTCCCGCGGAGTGGATTTTTGGCACAGAAACCACAGCCCTGCCAGCAATCCCAATCCACAAACTCTCCCTGTATAAAAAATGTTCAAAAAAAAAAGAAAAAAAAAGGCGGGGCGCACTGAGCTTTCTTTGCCTCGGGTACTTACAATCCACTGCTGATTACACATTCAGCTTCTCCGCCCGGAGCGAAGCGAAAGAGGAAGCAGATGGGAGCAAAGCGCCCGCGGCTCTGAGCAGCCAAGCGTCTCTTTTTCGATTTCTTTGTTCTTCCTGCTCCTTGGCAAAGTGGTCCACTACAGATTAACGGTGAAAGGAGCTTTAACAGACTGTGCGAAATCTCTATTAAAGCCGCTGCTTTGAACACCACGCTCAGCACTTCAGCAACCCCCATACGCAGCGGCCATCTTCCTGTGGCACTGTGCTCAACTTTTACATTTTTAGTACCCAAACAATCAGCTCAAAAGGTAGAGCTTAATGCAGTTTTACAAGCTTTTTTGATGTTTAAAGATTCTGTATTTAATTTATTTTCTGATAGTCAGTATGTAGTTAATGCTATAGTATCTCTTGAAGATGCTGGTAGGATTTCCCCTTCTTCTACTGTTTTCTCTTTGTTTTCCACTATACAAAGTCTAATCTGGGACAGAAAAGATCCATTCTTCATAGGACATATTAGGGCACATACAGGATTGCCTGGAGCCCTTAGTTTAGGCAATGATTTAGCAGATAAAACTACACATGACATACATATTTTCTCTACATTTGAAGAAGCTACAAATTTTCATAAAAGGTTTCATGTTAATGCTAATACTTTACAAAAGCGTTTTAAAATAACTAAGGAACAAGCCAGACATATAATAAAACAATGTCAAAATTGTGTGACATTTTTACCACAAGTTAATCTTGGAGTCAATCCTAGAGGACTGATACCTAACCATATTTGGCAGATGGAAGTCACACACTTGCCAGAATTTGGAAAATTAAAATATTTACACGTTACAGTTGATACTTCTTCTGGATTTTTGATGGGCTCCCTTCATGCTGGAGAAAAAACTAAAGATGTTATAGCTCATTGCTTACAAAATTTTGCCACTGTGGGCGTTCCTAAACAGTTAAAAACCGATAATGGTCCTGGCTATACCTCTACCTCTTTTAAACAATTTTGCTCATCATTTGGTATTACTCATATAACAGGAATCCCATACAATCCACAGGGACAAGGCATAGTTGAAAGAGCTCATCAAACTATTAAAACATACTTATTAAAGCAAAAAGAGGGAATTGGAAGGGGGTATATATCCCCCAAAGATAAACTTAAAATAACGCTTTTTACTCTAAACTTTTTAAATTTGGATTCATCAGGACTTAGTGCTGCGGAAAGGCACATGTATCCAAAAAATGTACATAAGCCTAAAGTACTTTGGAAAGATATTCTAACAGGACAATGGAAAGGTCCTGACCCAGTGATTGTCTGGAGTCGGGGGTCTGTTTGTGTTTTTCCACAGGGAGAACAGCAGCCGATTTGGATTCCAGAGAGATTAACTAAAACAATTTCTACAGATCGAAAAGACGATGATTTGACTCAAATCCATAACAGCTGATATCCAGAACTCCAGCTTGGCCATTCTTACATCTGCGACAGTGATTAACCAGGATGCTTTTTTCAATAGCTATTTTATTATTGCATTTTTCCACATCATAAGGTTCTATTTTTATTTTTTGAGCTCATACAAACCTAGGTTAATGTTTTTCTGATCAGTTTTATTTTTTGACTGTGGAGTTTTTAAACATTGCAATGGAGATTTCACCTAGGTAAAGCTACAAGGCCTTTACTATTTTCTTATGTGTTGTACGTTTGTGTACACTCTTGTGTTTTGTGTTGTATGTCTGTATGTGCGTATGTCCATATTTCTTATATGAGGAGCGCTCATGAGAAAATGGATCCTAATTATTATTATTTTTTTTATTCACGTGATTTAAATGGTTTAATTTAAATTAGGTAAACAGCTGTTAAGGATTGTTTTTAAAGTAGGTTAACAGATCTGTTTGTTTACTTTCACCTTTCCTTTTCATTATATTTAATAATTCTTTTCAGGATAATGTCTTTTTAGCATCATTGCCAGAATTCCTATCTTCATCCCAGTGCCGGTGAAGACAAAGATACAACCAGACTACAGCTTCTATGATAGCTATCACAGTAAACTGTATAAACTGATGCATCAATGAATATAACTCAACAAGTAATGCTCAATCAAGGAGTTAACTTACTTTGGGAGGAAACGGATTTTGGGAGGAAATGGACATATTGATAGATTCCTCCGCTTTGAACTGCTTGCAGAACTTGCCTGGACTATGTAACTATCGTTTGGTGCAGCGAATTGTGGTAATGCTGGCATATCTTTGCTGATGGTGTCACTAGTGATGCAATTTTTATTTCCTTGCCAGCGCACCCCATGTTAATTGTGGTAGTGCTGACATATCTTTGCTGATGGTGTCACCAGTGATGCAATTTTTCCCAAGGAGCCGTCAATTGGCTTGGTGTCGTGGCATTTCTGTATCCTCCTCCCTTCTGCTAGTGATGGTCTAAAATTTGGGGGCCAATGGCTTATGCTGGACCGGTAGTCAGTGACGGGTATGATCCAATTGCAGTGGTATCAACCTAAGACAAGAGGTTGACGCCTAAAGGTCAGTTTTCCGATGACGGGTAAGAACCATATGTTGAATTGGACAACCTACCAGGCACGGTCCTTAAGCCACATTAACCTCATTCCCCCACTGGCACCAAGGCCAAATTTGGGGGCCAACAGAGGTGAGGCAAAGAACCTCACCCCCCCACTGGTGCATAGACCTATCCACAAGTATGGCTGTATGCTGGACCGGTAGTCAGTGACGGGTATGATTCAATTGCAGTGGTATCAACCTAAGACAGGAGGCTGACGCCTAAAGGTCAGTTTTCCCATGACTGGTAAGAACCATATGTTGAATTGGACAACCTACCAGGCACGGTCCTTAAGCCACATTGCTTGTTGTTTAATTAATCAGAAGGGGGGAGATGATGGGAGCCATTAGCCAAGTAGGTATGACAATTTCCTTGCCAGCGTACCCCATGTTGCAGATTCTTCCTTGTAAAAATCATTTCATAAGTAAAAGTGGCTGTGATCCTGTGATTTTAAAACAGTGCGGAAACTTTTTGTTCAATGCCATGGCTTTGTAAGCGTTAGTCTATCTCCACAACTGAACTACCATCATTTTCTAGATAAATGTGCATTTTGCAATAATTTCTGATCTCATGAACAAAAGATGGCAATGGTTCCTAGACCGTCACACTGGAACCGATGTCACCAAGCTAAGGGGAAGCTTGGCCTGGGCAGGGGGTTCGCTGGGCACGCGGTCTGCCCGCCTCTGGCTGGGCGCCCAAGGGCGCTTACCCCGCGGACCACTGCAGCACGTCGGTGGGCTGGGTGCGGATGGCAGCCTTGGTGAACTGCTTCAGGATGTCAGGCAATTCCGGGGGAATGTGGATCTGCTGCGCGCAGAACATGGTGTCGGGAAGTGGCATCGCTGCGGCAGACCGCTACAGCCTGGGAGAACGTAGGTACGCTGCGGGGAGGGCGAGAGCGGCTGTCAGTGGGCCCGGTCAGCGCCAGGGCCGCTCGCCCTCCCTGCAGAAGCGAGGTCTTACCGGCTCCTCCTGCGGCTCTCGGGAAATGAGCCAACCGCCCCTCCAGCGACTCAGCACAGCCGGCTGCTCACTAGCTGGGCCAACGCTACTGCTGCGTCTCAGTATCCAAGCAACCGAGACGCTCCCCCCACCCCTTCGCGCGCGCCCTGGTGCCGCGCAGGCGCACATGCCTAGCACCTAGGCCCGGCGCTGAAGGGGTGTCCAAGAGCACTGCGCTTGCGCAGTCTGTTCCTGCCGCTTTTGCAGCTTACCTGTGCAGCCTGTGAGCCGAAGTTCTCACTTAGAAAGGAGGTTCCCGTCTTTTCTGTGTAGGGGCTTGAACCCATGTCCTCGCGCATGCTAGGCAAGGGCATTACCATTGACCTACATCTCCCTTTTAATTTTGAGACAGGATCTAATTTTGTCCAGGCTAGCCACCGACTTGCGACCCGGCTGCCTCAGCCTCCCAAGTGGATGGGATTACCGGCATGGGCCATTGTGCCAGGCGAAAAGGGCCTTTTGATCAACTACCCACAGCCCAGCGGGAGCAGAATTGACAGAGAACCTTCCCCTGAGGGTTCTGGTTCCGTGACTCTCGAGGGCAGGGGACCAAGTCCTCGTTAGAAAGTCGTTGCAGTGAGGGCTGGGCAGCTCCTCCCAGACCAGCTCTGGCCTTGGCGCTTCCGCACATGCTCTTCCCATTGCCTAACTCTTCCTTCTTACTGAACTCATTCTTCTATCCTCAGTCCAAAAACCGCTGTAGTAATTGCAGTGGGCAGTTTCCTATCAAACAAGATACTACAGGATACTATTTGTTTTCCTAAGGTAGATGACTGAGCTAACCAGACTGGGCCTAGAAGGCAATAATTCCCCCTCTTCTGATAAAATTAACTTTTCAGTCCTACTGGGTACTGACCAGGGAGACACTGGAGCAGAGAAGCTTGGTTTCAGGACAGCCCCGGTGACTCCTGCAGTTGTCCTTAACTTCCATACTGCGTGCAGGAGGCCCTGACACCCATCTCTTGCTCACCTCCAGACTGGAAGAGGGAGAACCACAAGCGAGCTATTTCCAAGAGGGGCTCCCTTAGAATAAGGAATTTGTCCCACTGCAGTCTTTTCCTTTTGGTCCACATATCCACCAGTTGGATATACATATTTCAAGTAACAGTGGAAAAAAACAACATAGTCAAGTTGTTGATGGTACAGGAAAACACTCTCATACCTTATTGATTCTAAGGGGGCAATCTGACACTGCAAAAAAAATTTTTGATGAATTAATCTTCTAAAAATTTATCCTACAGAAATAACTACCTTAAGTATAAAATGTTAATATAGACAAAAAAATTTACTATAACATACAAAGTGGCTTTCAGAAAACCTAAATCATGGGGCTGGGGATGTGGCTCAAGCGGTAGCGCGCTCGCCTGGCATGCTTGCGGCCCGGGTTCGATCCTCAGCACCACATACAGACAAAGATGTTGTGTCCGCCAAATACTAAAAAATAAATATTAAAAAAAGAAAACCTAAATCATGGTCTCTCCAAATAATGCTATAAAGCTGTCAGAAAAATAAGGTAGCTAACACTAGGGATGGTAGAGTACAGCTCTAGTCCCACCCAGCTTCTTGAGAGGTTGTGGGAAGATCACTTGAGTCCAAGAGTTGGAGACAAGAATGAGCAACACAGTGAGACCACCATCTCAAAACATACAATGAAACAAAAAAATTAGATTGCTACTTACATACTGACACAAAAAGATGTTCATAAAACAAAGTGGGAAAAAAGGCACCCCATAGAACAATTTGTGTAGCATGACACCTTCACTGTGATCAAAGATTCTATAAGTGTGTTTAGGCCTGACACTCTGGAAACACATGCTAAACTACTAACAACAGTTACCTTTGGAGAACGGGAAAGAAATTTCAGGATTTCTTTTAGCCACATACAAATTATTTTGATTCCAAATTCATCGTTTATTTGCTCACTCAGAAATGCTTACAAGTACCTGGTTTGTGCCACAAACTGAGATTAATAATACAGCAGTAATTCAGATTAAAAAATATAATCTCTGGAGCTTACATTCAAGTGGAAAACATGTAAACATAAGAAAAGTCAACTATAGTGTGTGCTAAGTAGTATGAGATATACAGCAGGGAGACCAGCCTCACTGGGAACCACAGCTCAGTAAAGAAATGAGACTGAGGAACCTAAACATTCAGACACAGCAAATAGTCAGTGAAAAGGCCCTGAGGCAGAGTGAGCACAGGGGTGATATTTCAGAGGGAGGAAAAGAGTTCCAACATGTGCTGCCTGGTATTGAAGGCCATCATGGACTTCAATTTTGTGATGGTGATCCACTTGCCAGTTCGCGTGAAACTGATTTGACTCCAATCAACAGAAATAGTATAGATTCAGTGGAGAAAAAGAATAAGGCAAGAACAGAGTCAGAAAGCCCAGGAAAACAGCATTACCATAGGCAGGAGGAGGAGGATGGTCATGTGCACCATGGTGGCAAGAGTGTTGCCAGATTATGGATTTATTAAGAAGGTAAAGATTTGCTGTCAGCCTGGATAAAGGAGCATGAGATGCACATACATTCTGGCATTTAGGAAAGGCAGGCAAAATGTCTTGAGTGCACTCACACACACATACCTGAGAGTAATCAGCATACTGGTCTTTACAGCTGTGGGACTGAATGGTGTGGAACATCACTAAATTAGCATAACCCGAGTGAAGGGAGAACACAGTCCCAGATTGAGCCCTGGGGCTTGTAACGACTGGAAGACAAGACAGAGCCAGCAAATAAGTTTAAAAAGAAGAGTCTGGACAGGAAGAAAATTAGAAGACTGCAGTGTTTGGACAAACTAATAAAGTGGTTTCAACAGAAGAGAGGAAATCAACAGTACTGGATGAGACAAGAAACATAAGACCTGAGAATTAATCATAAAATTTAGCAGCAATTACAAGAGCAATTCCAGGGAAAAAATGGGAATGAATATCCAATGGGAATGGAGTTGGAAGTTAACATGAGTATGGATAACTCTTTGAAGGCATTTGCTGAGAAGGAAACAGAGTGGCGGGGTCAAGGTATTTTTAGTGGAAGAATCACAGCAGCAGTGGGAAGTAATGATGGGAATAGCCCAACAGAAGAGAAGACGCATGGGAGGGCAGGATTGCAGCCCAGAGCCCTCCAGTAGGCAGGGCACACTTATCCCTCAAAGCAGTGGAAGGTGAATGGGGCTCTTCAGTGGAGCCCATCTGGCCTGAGGCACCTCTCTCACTGCAGTCTGCATTAAACGGCAGGCAAAGCAGTGTCACTCTGGGAGCTCAATTAACTGGTGAGCACATGGACAAAGGGGCAGATCAGGTGTAGATGTGATTGTGTGACCTTGTGAACGTTCTCTTTGGACTGCTTCCTCCTTCTCGGTGACACAGGACTGTCATCAAAGTGAGGAGAAAGGAGGATGTGGTGCTTTGAGGACAGAGGAGGACTCAAATGGTTACTTAGAAAGGGCATCAAGACATTAACTTACAATAAGTTCAATTTGTTAAGTTTTGACATATGTATTACATGTTAAACCAGAACCACAAGACATCCATCACCCCCATTTCTTCATGCCCCTTTGAAATCTCTACAAGTCCTCCCTCCAACTCCTAACCCCACCGCTCTTTCTATACACTTTTTTAGATGACTCCACATTTTCTAGTGTATACATTTTATAACAGTACTTTTGAGATGTGTCCATGTTGCATGTATCAACAGTGAATTCAAGTTAAGCACTATTCCATTATGTAAATAATCACAATTTCTGTATTTACTTGTTGATAAATGTGGGTAGCTTCTAGCTTTGGGTTATTATAAAGTTACTATGAAGGTACAAGTATTCATAGGGAAATATACTTTTTCTTTTGACAAATAATTAGGAACGTTAAATGTACATGACCTACAACTGTCTTCCAAAGTAACTGTGCCATTTCTCATTACCTTCAGCCGAGCATAAGTTCTAGCTCTTCTGCATCCTCACCAATATGTGGTAGGTTTTTATTTTTAGGCATTCTAATAGTATGTGGTGCAGCCTACTTTAGTTTTAATTTGCATTTTCCTAGAGACTAATTATGTTAAATATTTCATTGGTTATTTATTGAAGAACCAAGCGTATTTCATATGCTTGCCACATCCTCCCCGCCCCTGGGAATTGAATCCAGGGCATTGCAAACTAGTTAAGTGCTCTACCAACGAGCTACATCCCCAGCCCAGTATATAACCTTTAGTGAAGTGTCTGTTTAAATAATTTGCCCAAATGGTATACTTACTATTGTTTTGAGACTGCTGTATTCTAGATGCATGTACTTCATCAGAAATGCAAATATTTCCTGCCACTCTATGGTCTTTTTATTCACTTGGCATCTTAAGAGGTTTTCAATTTGATCAAGTATGATTTATCATTCTTTTTCTTAAATGAAGTGTACTTGTTGTATCTAAAAACTATGCCTAACACAAGGTTAAACATTTTTTTCTTTCATTTTCTTCTACAAGTTAGTTTATACTTAGGATTATAACTCATTTTAATTCTTACTATGGTACGGATTGTTTTTAATTTTGCATCTTATGTCCAATTATTCCATCATTTTTCAAGACTGTTGCATTTTTGACAGAACTCTACTGCAGTCACTATGCACGTGGGTCTATTTCTGGACTCTATTGTGCTCCCTCAGGCCCACGGACAATAGTCAGCCAGCAGAAAGTCCTGCTCCAACTGAACAAAGAACAGGTAAGTGATGAATAGGGTTCCTGGGAAGAAGCTTCGCTTCTTTAGGTCTGACCTAAAGAAGTTACTGAACAAATATGGAGAAGTGAAAAAACTCAGGCACTGTTACATATGTCAAGGAAGAAAATTCAAAAAGATAATTAAACAATGCAAAGTGGAACAAAAAGGAGCCTCTACTGAGGCTCTTGCCTGTGTACATTTGGATGGCTTTAGTGAGAGTATGGCACTGCATGAAGTAGGCTGCAGGAGGCTGACAGGAGATGGTGTGTGGGAGAGGAGGGGTCCCTACATGTAGGAAACTGAGGAAGCAGGGAGATCACTGCAGGCTCCCAGTCTCAGTCCTTTCTTCTCCGTGTTCCCCAAGGCATCTTAGTC